CCTGCTGAAAACCTTCTGTGGTTTATCATAGCATTTTTACAGTTGTCTCTCTCCTCCTTGTTGTTTTTCTCTATTTCTAGATGGTGTTTGTATCCCTGGGTGCACCAAGGAGAGAAAGGAAAGGTGAAGGTGTTCAGCTTCCAGCATCCTGTCTACCTCCTCCTCAGAAGGACAACATTCCCATGCTTCTCCTCCTGCAAGAACCTCATCTCACCACCCTTTTTGATTTGTTAGAGATGCTTGCTTCTTTTAAGCCTCCTTCTGGAGAAGTGGCTATGGAAGACAGTGAGGTAATTTTATTAGAATAATTACATTTAAGTCTTACTTAATTTGATCTATTTTTCCTATCTAGCCTACTTCTTGAGTACTCTGTCCAATTGCTGCATAAGTTTCTTGTCTATATAGTCATATTTCACATATGATCTAATTATGAATTTTCTGATCTTCTTAACAATGTTTTACTGATATATTTTACTTGTTCTAAATATTTTAGAAGCTATAAAAAATAGCAATTCTTAAGAACACTGATAATTTAAATAGAAGTGGTGACTATGGGAATTGGTTTGAAGATCGTTTGTGGAGGTTTTATTGCAAATCCTCATGTTTTATGTCTTATATACCATTATTAGCTTGTGGGAAATAAAGTAACTATTAGTATATTCAAACCAGTAGTTTAATTTTATTTACACTCAAATATGTGATAAACTGTAAAGATAATGTAACAGTTTCTTGCAGGCTCAGTGAGACTTCAACTATCATTTTCTATTTATGGACTTACATTAGATAGGAAATGGCTTCTTAATTAAAAGTAAATATGTTTTTGGACTTTGAAATCTTGTTTTCCCAAAGAAGTTCACAATAAGAATGGTTGTTCTGTGCTTTGTCAGAGTGCAAGGTGTGAAGAGCTCCATCTCCATGCAGAAAACTTATCCAGACGTGTCTGGGAACTGTTAATGCTTCTGCCAACGTGCCCCAATATGTTGCAGGCATTCCAGAATATTTCAGATGAGCAGGTGAGCAACGAATGCTTTTTTTACGTGTTTATCTTTATTATACAGGGATGTTTTAGTGTCTAGTGTTCTAGCTGAATTTTCCCCAAAGAGGAATGTTAAATACTAAGTATGTAAACTTCTGGGACACAAGTAAACCTAATAAATAAACCTGGTAATTTTAACATAACTAAACGGAGATGTCAGCTTAGTTCCTGAAGTTTATTTGTCATGATTTCTTTAAAAAAAAATAATAAATGAATAGTCAATACTGATGGTCACAGTCTTTTGGCTTGAATTAAAACAGATGTTTCTTAATCTGCAGCCCTGCTTTAACATGATGAATGTTGTGATAGTAATCCTTTTGTACTCTCTTCTGTGAGCTCAAAACATGGGTGCTTACCAAACTGTTATCTTGCTCTGTAGATGAAAATTTTGCCTGCTAAAGTTGAAATTACATATTAACAGTTTTTATATGTGGTTCTTTATGCATATACACATCTCAAAACATGGGTGCTTACCAAACTGTTCTCTTGCTCTGTAGATAAAAATTTTGCCTGTTAAAGTTGTTGAAATTACATGTTAACAGTTTTTATGTGGTTCTTTATACATATACACATGAAAATTTTGATGGAGTTTATAATTTTGAGTGTAACATTTGGCTTCCTCTATTTCAAAATTGTCTGTACTTTAGCCATATAGTAATGAAATTTTAAGCCAAGTAATTGGTGTGATTTTAAAAGTTCTCTCTTTGCAGTTTTTTTGATAGATCAGCATTACATATAAATGTCTTCATTATTTTTTTGCCTTTTTCTCTTTTCAGGGTAATGATGGCTTTAGCTGGAAGGATCTTTTGCGAATAAAAAGTGCCCATAAGCTTTTGTATGCTCTGGAAATTATTGAAGCTTTGGGAAAGCCCAACAGGAGAATAAGACGTGAATCTACGGTAATAGCTTCTTGCACACAACACATGCTTTTCCCTCAGAACCACAGTATACACTGATGAGTTGTGTTAAAGTGTTTTACATCTTTAGCTCTTCTTACAAAGAATTGTTCTTCTTTATCTTCAGGGAAGTTATAGTGATCTTTACCCAGACTCAGATGACTCGAGTGAAGATCAAATAGAAAATAGTAAAAACACGTGGAGCTGCAAGGTTTGGCTTTCCTACAGTATTCTCTGATACCTAATACACTTTTTCAAAGATGATATAAAACAAAAACTTACTTAAAACATTATCTTAGAATTTTTGATCTCAAATTTGGGTACAACATTTTAAAGTTTTTCTATGTTACCAGGCCTGTAAATTTGTTGTAGTTGTATACAACTATTCCTTTCAGTTTTCATAAAATATCAGCTAATAGTTTATCAAGTTTGTTTGTTTGTTTTTTAATAAAGCTTAGATTGGTATCTAAGTGTAGTGATATTTCTGGTTTTGCTTTTTCTCACATTAGTTTCATAATATACTTACAGTTTGTTGCTGCTGGAGGGCTCCAACAGTTACTAGAAATTTTCAATTCTGGAATCTTAGAGCCTAAAGAACAGGAATCCTGGACTGTGGTAGGTGTTCTTTCACCCTTTTTCTCCAGAATAATATAGCTGTCATTTGTAAAGACTTCTGTTACTTTCAAACTTTGTTATAATTACTTTTCTGGAGTAAGTGAAATAATTCTATAGTTGAAACCAATGTAGTCTATGCAATAGCATCTTTTTCTTGAATATTTTATATTCCTGAATCATTTATTTTCTTTTAAAAAGATCTTAATTCTTTTTTGTATTTTAAAACCACCCTTTGTATTTTTCTGTGCATTTTTGGTTTAGTTTTTTGTCTAATCTTAAAAAATCTTGGTTTGTAGAACATAAAATTGTAGATCATGGAAACTTCTTAGAGAAAAAACCTTGGGTTCCATCTTTAGCAATTATTGCAACTGCATTGATTAGTACTATGGCATATCACACTTCTTTAAAGAAGTCAGAATTTGTTGAACAAGAAAGGAATACTTTATTTTTGCCTTTTTCTACTTGTTTTATGGGAGGTTGGTTTTTGGAAACTTTTATTATAGTCTGTTTTAAAAACATTAATCTGTTAATTATCTCTCCCTCTGGAGAGGCCAAGAAAAACCATTTCCCCTTAGTGGCATGAAGACAAAAGAGGTAGCGTTGTGACTATGGTGTTAATAAAGACACTTTTTAATAATAAATGTTATTGGTCATTCTTATGATGTCTTTTACATCATTATCACATTACTAGCTTGAGCTAAATTTGTGTTTCAATGAAAACTTTTTTAATTGCAACTTTCTCTTTTATTCTCAAGTCTGCGGCATTTGATTAAAAAAAAATGAAATATCGGCAGCTCTTAGTGATATGTTCATAAAAAGATAGCAATGAATAAGTATACACATCTCTGTATAACAGTTACTGAAATGCTAAAAAGAAGTCAGGTGTACTTTTTATGGAAAAATTGATCATTTGTAACTGATTTGAGTGTATCTGTTCCAAAATTATTTCAATATAGGAAGCATTGTCATTCTCTCTGTTCAGTATATAAACAAAAGTTTGTATGATGACCTCTATTGATCTGCTGGGGAATTATGCACAAAGCTGTGAAAAAAGTCACAGACCAATTAGTTCTGAGTCCTGATTTAGGCACGTGTGGGTGCTGTAGCTGCCCTGCATTCTGTGTTGCTGTGACAAGGTGCTCTGTTTTTCCTTAATTTTACTCTCATAACACACCTTCTGCTGGGGAGGGCTGGACAGGTGCTATGTTGGTCACAGCCAAGCAGCTGAGAGCCGTGACAGTTGAGCTCAAGAGTTACTAAATGAATCAATGGTTTTCATCTAACAAGAAATGTTACAGTACAAAATGGTGTTTTAAATCTAGCATGTATTGTCTGTACATGGTTAAATATACACACCTTGAAAGCACTTCTCTATACCATACTCTATCCACTGTACTGTCATGGAATCTGATGCAGGAAAGGCTCCTAACTGCTGAGCTTAACTCCTGAACAATTTCCTCTCTGCTATTTCATGCACTGAATAATAGAATGTCTTGAATGCCCTTGCTAACAGGACTAGATTATGAAAATGTTTTCATTGTAAGAAGTAAATTCTTTTTAATACCCTTCCTCTTTAGTGTTTACTCTAGAGAGTTTTTTTCCAGTTAGTTCTATCTGTTTATACCTTACTTAAACTTTTCATTTCAAATTCTGTAATAGGCACAGAATTATATATAGAATAAATCCCTGAAAAAAAATAAGATTTCTTTTTCTTCTTATTCCCAGTGGCAGCTGGACTGTCTTGCTTGCTTGCTGAAGCTGATATGCCAGTTTGCAGTCGATCCTTCAGATCTGGATTTGGCTTACCATGATGTCTTTGCATGGTCTGGCGTAGCAGAGAGCCACAGGAAGAGAACGTGGCCAGGCAAATCAAGGAAGACAGCAAGTGACCATGTGAAGGGCCTTCACATTCCTCGTTTAACAGAGGTAAGAGAGAAGCAGTGTGTCTGTTTTGGGAACTTGAGAAAAGTGACTCCTTTGTTGTGTGAAGCTTTTATTTTGATAATAAAATAATGTAGTGGGAAAGTTATTAATATGGATCTATGTCCTACGTGCTGTTCCCTAAAAAGTATTTCAGTAGCTTTAAACCTGGCAGTCTTAAAAGCTGGAACCAAAAGGGGGTTTGGATGATTGGTGAGCACATGAATTGGGAATTCTGAGTTCTTGTACTTTATTCCTATTCCTTAGATTTTGTTTTCCAAGTCAATTACTCCTTTTATTTTTTTTATGGTAACCTGTTATATGAGATGTCCACTCAATCTGGTTTAGGTTCCTTTAGTAAACACTAAAATAACTTGCTCTACTAAGGATCTCTGAGTGAGTATATGGTAAACTTACCTAAACCCTAAAGCTTCCTACCAGATTCCTGCACACTGGTTTCCTAAAGTAGAGCAAGCCTACGTAGTATTTTGGCAACAGAGATACATTCACTGGAAGTCAGTTCTCTTCAGTACAGGATCAGCTGTGATTGCCAGAAAGTGTAGATCTGAACTGTGAGGTATTTTTGACAAAAACAGATCCCCAAATTGCTAAATCTACTATGATACAGGGAAAAAATATTAAATGTATGAATTAATTAATGTATTATTACACAATGACTGTGTGTAAATGCTGCTACCAGTTTCTAGAACAGGTTTTAAATCTTTCATTGTCAGTTGATGAGTATTTTTGAATACAGTGGATTTGCTATCTAAATATTTTAAAATGTTTTCTTCAGACTTTGGTTTGAGAATTCTGTGTTGTTTGTCAGGTTTCTCTAAAAATGAATAATTTAAGTGAATGTATAGTCAATAAAATGTGTTGATCGCAGAGATAGGCAAAATTTACATACCCAACCCCATCTTCAAGCCTGAGATTTTTAAAAGGAAGTGAATAGTCTATGCTTTTAAAAAAATACTGTTTTTACTGAAAGTATTGAATAAGTGGGGTTTTCTTCTGTTCAGTTGTCTTAGATAAATAGAATGAAATTTTAGCATCTAGACTGAGTCAATGGAACAGGATTTTAGATTGGCATTAATAAAACAAAATAAGTTTTAACTATGGACATACTATGATTTCTCTTTTGCTCTTCTTCCCTCTACACAGGTGGGTTTTTTAGATTCACACAGTGTGTATAATTTAAAAACAGATCAAAAAGCTTGTTGTTATATTAACTGTTTTTTTTTCTTTTGACTTCAATTTTTAAAGGTGTTTCTTGTACTTGTCCAGGGAACCAGTTTGATTCAGCGACTTATGTCAGTTGCTTATACATATGACAACTTGGCACCTAGGTACAATGTCTTCTTATTTTTGTAATAAAGCTAATCAAGTGTTCACATTCTCATCACTGCTTTAAGTAAAGTAAATGGCTCTTTCAGTTGTAGTCCCTTCACATTCTCATCACTGCTTTAAGTAAATGGCTCTTTCAGTTTTAGTCCCCATTAACACCTGTATCAGAAATATAAACCTATTGGCATTAAACTTGCTTTTCTTAGTCACCTCTTCTGGTAGTTATCCTGCCTTTACAAAGAGGAAAGGGAGAGAGGAGAGTGGCAAAAACTCTCAAAGGTCAGGGTGTAAGACACAGAGCAACAAACTGTATAGGCCTTTATAAATTCTCATGCCAAAGCTATTTCTTTGTTCTCTCTGTAGCAATTAGCATTCTCAAGTTCAAGGCAATGTAAAGGAGAAATTAAAATAATTTTTAAATTGCTTAGTCGTCTGCTGGCTTTGATTTTTTTCCTATCCTAATAACATCGGCTTGCTAATGCTGAAATTTACCTTTATTGTTTTAGCAAGTGTGCATGTATTGAAGGAAAAAAATTACCTTCAGAAATTGGCTCTTAGGGATTTTTGTCCTTTTTGCCTGTTGTGTTGAGAAAAGCAGTTCCATCTAAGAATGTATCATGACAGTTGGAGTGATGGTGGGGAGGTCAGGATTTTTCCTGCTTTTGGTGTTGTAGAATTACTTGATTCCAAGTAATGGATGGTGTGTTTTACCATGCTTTTAAAAGATTGTTAGGACATTCAGAACCTTCCCAGTCAGGGCTGCAAGTGTGCTTAAATTTAACCACTAGCTGAGTTGCAGGAAAAATTGTACATATATACAGTATGGTTTTGGTTTCATAACCTTTTATTGCAATTTATAAAAAATATAAGTAAATACAAACATTTAAAATTTGCCTGAAGTTTGCAAATGTTTGTTCAAAGTGCAGTTCTCTCTGAGCTATAGTAGCTTTCTTCTGTGTGGATCAGTTCTTAGTTCTATTTTACATCTCTTTTTTTGATAAAATAAGGGGGTTGTGAGTATTTTTTCTTGACTTTTTATCTTGCCAGTAATGCTTTAAGGGGGTGACGTGAAGATTTTAATAGTTTTTATTTATTGTTGCTAATTTTGAATACTGTAAGAAATTGATCCTTTTAAGAGTAAAATTTTAGTCTTGTTACTTTTGTGTACTTGTATTTCTAAGGAATAATCTGTTACGTTCTTTGACAAAGTTCAAATGACTTTATTTTCTTTCTGTTCAGGGTGTTGAAAGCTCAGTCTGATCACAGATCAAGACATGAAGGTTAGTCACCTTTATTCTGGTTTACAGAAATCATTCTTGGCCCAAAATTCCTTGGAGCTCCCTATCTATCGATGGATTCTTGTGGAGGTTTCTTGCAAAAGGTCTGAATGACCCGTGTCAGATTAAGTCTGTATCAAATTAATTGTCAAAAGTACAGCACAGACATGCATTAATAGAGGTATGTCCTCCTAGGTGTGTGCCTTGCCTTTGGTTTTTCCACTTTGCCCTGCAGATGTTCATGCGTGTGGAGTGGAATTCTCAGTAAATGCTCTGTATCAGCTACTAGAGTCTTACTTGTAGCTGTTAAGAAGGAAAGAAGAGAGGACTACATAAGTTAGTCCAGGATAATGTTTATCTTAAGACATGATGCAGCCCATTATCAAAGTACCAGCTCAGTGCTTAAGAAGTAGAGATGCAGGATAGGATTGTGCCTCAGATTGGCAGTACTCAGAGTAATCTAACTTAGTTGTCATCAGTAGTACAATGCTCAGTATTCAGTGAAAATATTGTTAAAATTCTGAGCTTGGGTCCTGTGTGATGTGCCAGTAAGGATTCAGTCTTGTACATTAGTATGACTGAAGTAAGTGTAATTTGTGCTAGAACTATGCAATTCTTCAACCTAAAAAGCCTGTTTTGTTAGTTCCAGCATGATGTTCTCTTTCCCCATTTTCTTTCAGTCACTCATTATTCAATGTGGCTCCTGGTGAGTTGGGCTCACTGCTGTTCCTTGGTGAAATCCAGTCTGGCAGACAGTGATCATCTGCAAGACTGGCTAAAGAAACTTACCCTTCTTACTCCAGAGGTATGTTTAAGGACAGGTTATTGCATTACTAATTAGTGCATTATATGGAACCAGATTAACTTGTGCTTTGAACTGCCATTAAATTCAAAA